TCCACAATATGCAGAATGAATCTCAGGCACCAAGTGACCATGGATGCTGTAAAATATTCCAAATTTCGGAAGCACATAAATAAATATTTTAAAAGTTATTCTTTAACTTTAATCCAGACACAGAACAATTTTCTGTTGCCTTACATAATAAAATATTGTAGAAATATTTTAGGCTTTTATGAGCAACATATTCACAGCAAGTATGCTTTGAACGAAACTCTCGCTGGTTAAACTTTCTTAGTTGTGGGAAAAGGCTTAGGCAATCCGAAAGTGTATTTGACTATTCCTGTTAAATATAATAACAATTTGCATTTTAAATAGTAAATTTATGGTAAATTTGTTGCGTAGCTTTATGACAAAATTAGCGTATACGCAGCAGACGATAAATAAATGTAATAAATTACTGAAAAGACTAAAACTAAGTTTAAGAAATAAAACGAAACAAAAAATTTATGCACTGTTCTTTAACAGCAGAATTGCGTTTAGTGGCTGGTGTCTTTTTCTTGATAAGAGCTGAGCTTTGTGAACACATAGCAGTTACATAATTAATACATAGGATAACATAGTTAATAAACCAATACCAGGTCGATTAAAACTACTTTTACGGATTTAATCACGTATAAATATTTTTTTAATGCCCAACGTCTCGGGTGCTTTCCAGCACCCATGGTCACGGAGGACTGAGGTGACTGAAGTCCCTATGTCAGTGTTAACCCGGAGAACATTCAGCTTTTTAATTATTGTTTTTGATACGATCTACCATCTTAAAAAGAAATTTCTGGCAAAATAATTCCGTCAATTCAATCAAGTCAATTAAAAGAAGTGTTGATCATGTTAGAGAACTGTGTAAAGAGTTTAATGTTATGTGTTTGTTATGTTTAATGTTTAATGTTAGGTGGCTCTTCAAGAGACCTGGCTGCTTCCCCATGAGCTATCTTTCTTGTCAAGAATTCATACCGAGTTCTCTTCACACGATACCCCTGCAGTCGATACTTCGTCCGAAATATTAAAAGTTCTACTAGTACTCTTTCGCAAAACTACGTTGTTTAATAATGTTGACTTAATGAATTGTAATGATTCACAAATTTGTGCTAAAAATCGTATATTAATGGGAATTGTCATATGTATTTTACTGTTTATACATACTCACATACTCGTATGCCTCAAAACAATCTTGAAAATTTACCTGAATTTGCAAATATTTTATTATTATTATTTTTGTATCTGTATAGATTTCTCATCTAGTTGGTTTCTATAAATATATAATTATAAATTAAAATGAAAAGATAAATATACATAAATATCAATAAAATAAAATAAATACAAAAAATACACAAATAAATAAAGATCCAACCGGATGGAAGCGCTCGGCAGGGGAGACCAAACGGCCGAGGGTTAGGAGGAAAGGGAAAGAAACCGATGGACGATGCGGGCGGTATCGAGGTCCGTCACGGAGTCTCAGTGGCCTCAGATGACCCGAGAGACTGACTGGGATTAGCCCATTCGTAGAGATGATTACAGGAATAATTTCGGTCGGCCGACCACCCCATATGTCGGTTACATCGTGAGCCAGGTCCAGATATTTTGTTCGCTTATCTGTTTCGGCTATCAAGAGGTTCTCGTCATACGGAATGGTAATGCCGACCAAAAATATCCTTAACTGTGCCCGGTCCATCATCACAATATCAGGCTTATTCGCAAGAATAGTCCTATCTGTGATGATGGCCCGGTCCCAATAGAACCTGGCGCGATCATTTTCGAGTACGGCTTCCGGCAGTTACTTGTAATACGGCAATTTCCGGTCCACGATACCGTATTTCAGAGCGAGCTCCTGGTGTAGAATTCTGGCTACTAGGTTGTACCTGTGCAAGTACTCAGAGTTAGAAAGCGCCGAACAACCGGAGATGACATGCCTAAGTGACTCACCGGGATGGCGACAAGGTGCCATCTGGCGCCACATTCCCAGTCGTAGCAGTTCCATTCGATGAGGGAACAGCCTCACGTCGTAGTCTTTCGGGTTCGGCGTCACCAAATATGTTGGAGCGCAGGATGTACCGAACTCGGTCTGCCAGGTTTTGCTCAGTGACGGATAGAGATGGCTCCAGCTCTCAAACTTCCAGTTTCTTCCCCTTTTGCCCTAAAGTACGCCCGCAGTGCGTTTGCGTTCATTAATTAAGATCAACGCATGCGACGTGCTCCACCAGCGGCGGGTGCTGCTTGCTGAGTCCGAGAAGACGCAGCCCACACCAAGCCTTCTGGTGGGGATGTTGGATGCGGGGGGCTGCTAGGTGGTCTTGCAGCACCCCGCGCTCGGCTGGCGGCCCGCATGCTTTCGCGTCCAGCGCCAGCTCCAGACCCGCCCTGGCGACCTCCAGGCAGCGGCCCTTTGCGCACTATCTTTTTTTCCATCATCCATGAATTGGGCGTCCATTAACGGGGGACGCCCAGGCCCGGCACCGTATCGTGTATGTTATTATTATTATTATTATTCTCTAAGTGGGTTAGTAATTACAAAAAGAACTTATAAGCTAGGGTTAGTAAATAAATAAAATTTAAAAGGTTACATACTATATTACTACACAATATCTACCATTACCAGATTACCTACCTTATATTTACCAGAGCAGGTCTTGAGCATATGGACGCTGTTCCAGAGCCTCAAGACAGGACAGCAATAGCGACTCCCTATCGCCGCCAGGAGGCTGTTGGAGCTATCTCGGACACGGCGCCATGCGGAGGCAACCCGTTTGCGCATGACAGCTGGGAAACTGTCTATGCGAGCCTCAACAAACATTGCCAAAGCGCTGCAGTACCGAGGCAGCCCCATCAGCATCCTGAAGCCGTTGTTATATTGGACGCGCAGGGTTGTGAGCGTCCTCCGTGTAAAAGGACTGACAACAGGCTCTGAATAGAGTTTTTTTTAACTTCTATATTACACACTGCAAATCTACTGGCGAGCATATTCGCTCTCATAGCTAAGAGCCCTGCGTTCCCTCTCTATGTCAATATCATTCGACATATTTTCAGTAACCCAGTGTCCCAAGTATTTGAAACTTGTCACTCTTTCAGTGGTACACCTTCAAGAGCGACAGTAGGAAAATTGTAGCTCTTATATTTTGATTTAAAAATACGATCTTACTTTTCTTGACATTATATCGTAGGCCATGAGCCGTTGCATACTTCTCACAGATACTGAGTAGTTTTCTTAGACCACTAATTGATGGGCTCAGCAGCACCATATCGTCGGCGTTACTTATGTTGTTATATTCAATATTATCAATAGAGCATCCGACTCCACTACCACGGAGTTTGCCAATCAGACTGTTCACGTAGAGGTAAAAAAATGCAAGAGAAGTCCGCCCTGTCTTACTCCGCACTCCAGCCCATACGCCTCAGATTGCATGCCTGCCCACCTCACCTGATTCTTTTGATTGTCGTACCAATACTGAAACAGACCTATTAAGTCATTAGGAAAGTCATTAGTTTCAGTAGCCAGCTTCTTCCAAAGTATATCGTATTTAACCGTATCAAAGGCCTTTGATAGGTCCAAAAAAACAGCCTATAACAGGTGTCCTACGATTTGTGTAGTAACGTACGGTGTGCTTGAGATGAAGTACAGCACTTTCTGTGGATAACTGCGGTCTAAATAATGTAAAATATTTTTTTTATTAGAAAATAATTTTGTTAACGTAGCTATTGCCTTAGTAGACTATAATGCGAATATTAACACGTTATTTAGCAATGAATTAATAAAATTTTGTTCAGAAAATGATTTTATTTGACAAACCTTAATTTTTTTATGATTTTGAAAATATTTTTACACACATTAATTAGTTATAGCACAAAGAGCTGTCCTGATCATAGCATCGTAACCCGGGTCGCGTGGTCGGCGTTATCAAGAGTCTTCTTCTTCTCCCTGGCTATTGTCCCATTTTAATTGGGGTCTGCCCTCCTAGTAATCTTGCGCCACATCGTGCGATTGTGGATTTTCCTTTCTGATATACTAGTAGAATTCAGGTCGTTTTTTAGTGTTTGCAGCCAGGTTATTAGTGGTCGTCCACGGCCTTTCTTCCCCTCTTCTATGTCATCATCATCCCGTCTCATCACGTGTCCGTACCAGCGTAGACGGTTTTTTCTAAGTTTTCCGTGCAACATACAAACCTTATAACTACCACGAATGTAATCGTTTCTTATTTTATCTATTTTAGAAACTACTTCAGACTAACGTATTATTTTCATCTCAGTGACGTGTATTTTCTGTTCATCCATCTTTCTCATCGGTCAGCACTCAGATCCATATAGCAGAGCTGGTATTACTGCTCTTTTGTATACATTGCCCTTTATTTTAATAGGCATATGGGAGTCGCATAGAATGCCAGAGAGCGATCTCCATTTTAACCAAGCTGTTTGGGTTCTATTTTGTATATCTTTTTCTATACATGCCTTTGGTGCTACAATGGATCCGAGATACTTAATCTCTTCAACTCTCTTAAGAGGACTGCTTTCAATAGATGAACATGGAATAGTCTTCTGTCGGACGAGCACAGTGTGACATACTACGAACCCCTTCAGCCAGTAATGATGCAGCCCATCGAGCCCTGGACTCTTCCAGTTCGGTCCTATGGACCGCCTCAGCCACGTTTTCCGGCGTTATGGTAATGGGGTCCATAGGCATAACACTCGCACCCTGGCTCGCCACAACTTCCATCCAAGGGCCCTAGCTGTGGGTTACGGGCTCTGACCACAGGCCACGCTATACGATAGTGTCAGCCTGATCCGGTCCTGGATCCGCTCCACATGCCACTGGTCGCTCCAATGATTTATGGAGCCTCTTCTGATCACTCTGGAAGAGATGATTCTGGTTGAAATGCCTCAACTTCTCGGTAAATTGTCGAATCCGCCTCCTCCAAGCAGCAATCTTTTGCTTCAGGTCATCTATGCGCTCCGTTAGTTTCTGCGTGATATCCGGCTGGGAAAAACTGATATTTGTTTCCGCTTGCTTAGGGGTATGCGGGGAAATCCTGGCGATTTTCGAGAGGCATGCTGCGTGTTTCCAAAATAGCCTCTTCTAATATGCTCCTCATTTGCTTTAGTTCGTGGGAGACTATTTCATCATCGTCCGAATCAACCACAACCGGGAGATCCATGGCGGCTTCTACGTGTGGATACTGGTCTGTCGCCTGTGGAGCTACATCCCCAGCCATAGCCGATTCATTCGATGAGGGAATAGCCTCACGTCGTAGTCGTTCGAGTTCGGCATCATCAAATATTTTCGAGCGCATGATGTACCGAACTCGGTTTGTCAGGTTTTGTTCCGTGACGGGAATAGACGGCTCCATCTCAGCAAAATAAAGCATGCAAAAAAGCAATGCATCCGAGCCCTATACGCCATGCCCGCAGCTTCTTCCCCTTTCGCCCCATAGTACGCCCGCAATGCGTTTCGTTCATAGTTTTTGTCCAACGCATGCATGCGACGTGCTCCACTATCGGCGGATGCCGTTTTCTGAGTCCGAGAAGACCCAGCCGATACCAAACCTTCTGGTGGGGATAATGGATGCAAGGGGCTGCCTGGTGATCGTGCAGCTCCTCGCGCTCGGCTGGCGGCCCACCTGCTGCCGTGTCCAGCGCCAGCTCCAGACGCGCCCCGGAAACCCCCAGGTAGCGACCCTATGCGCGTTCCTCTTTGTACCATCATCCATTTTAAGGGCGTTAAATAACGTGAGACGCCCAAGCCCGGCACCGTTTCGTGGTTCGGTCATATGCACAAACGGACCTTTGCACCCACGTTTAGCCTAGGCACGGCGCTCACACCTCTTGGCAGGGCGTTGACTAACTGCGCCGATGTAGCAGTTTTGTCACATAACTGTTACGTCAGTGGGCTATGGGTTCGTCACTTCCCTACGCCGTTTTATTATTATTATTATACTGTTATTTTGTTCCGGTATTCTTTACGAGCGTGGTTCTTTCACATCATTTCATCCTAACCTTCAAGAGACGAATATGCACTTAAATTATTATGAGTCAAGATATATAGAACAGAATAATATGTAGGCGTAGATGCATATGGGCAGCAACATCCACTGACTATCAAATCGACTGCTAGTTCGTTTGTTACCCTTTCTTCTTTAAAACGGCAGTATTCTGTGATAACGTACCCTTTACTCCTGTCATGGTAATTTTATCTTTGTGCATTTGTTGAGTTGTGTACGTCACAAATCGTCAAATTTCTTAAATTTACGCGAAAACTAGACATTGAATAAAACTATTTATTCGGATTTTATCGTGTTTAATAAAATTACTTTAAACGTATTTTTTAATTCCCAGCGTTTGGGGCGCTTTACAGCTTTACATGGTTATGAGGGAGGATGAGATATTTGACTTTTCAATTCCTTAGTTTTCTTTCTTTCAATTTTTTATATTAATTTTTGGTCTGATCTACGCAGAACGAGCTTACAGTATCTTGAAGTCTTGCAGTGGTATGCTCGGGTTTAGATTTAATTTTGTTAATTATAGGAACCCAAGCAGATTGCAACACCCATTTATCTTCTTTATTGAAATTAGGATGTTTTTAATTTCAATAGCTTTCCGTATCATCCTTGGTAGGAATCGGATCGATCGGAGAGGATTTGTGGTTTATCAAATCTGATGTAAGGATGGAAAAGATCTTGAACTTGTTTACCACAGACTTCTTTTTGGTTTCATTTTATTACAATTGTTCCCAATCAGGACATAAACCATAAACTTTACATTTATTCAGGAAAAATGCCGTTGACACCTTGTCGAATCGATGAACACTTTGGAGCCATGTCAGACCTACAGCATGGCTCTAACTCATAATAATATAACGTTCAAATATCGGAATTGAAAATACTTATTTGGTATACTTGGTGTTTGATTTTATTTTAAATAAAATCACCTTTATTTTATAGCTTAAATATAACCAAAGTACGTACACAAAAGCGGAATTTGTGTACAACACAATCAAATGTATTTTATGTTGCACATCAATTCTCTTAGAGTGAATTACATTACAGTAGTGGCAGATGTCCTGCGTTATTTTCTCGCCTTGATACTACACGGCTGAAGCGTTCCCGCTATACGTTATTGTCAACTGAAAATATACCTAGCGATAAACCGGCAATAACATACTGTAAACGAAACACTGTGGGGTAAACTGTATTTTGTAGTAGCTTGTCTATTAAGATTAGATAAACATTCACCATGAAATATAATTAAGCATCATAATGATTTGACATGCGGTTTGGAGTCAGTTTCAAGTAATTTGAATTAGAAAAGGAGACATAGAGGTAATTTCTGGGGATCATAACAATTTAAATAATTTAGAATTTAGCTTACAAATTCTTAATAATTTTAATTGTATGACTCCACAATATGCTAGTAAAAATTATTTACCTGGTGCATCAAAATAGACAACGTTAGACATGATTAGTCAAAGAGATAGAAATTGAATATATTTTTATGTATTACTGAACATTGCTTAAAATCTTGTAACTAAATTTTTAACATTAGTAATCACCAGGTGGTCAGTTTTTTCAATAGATAAACGGTTTTAGGAGGTGGCTAGTAAGCTATTGTCATGTAAAGAACGTATTGATATTGTGAGCCTCTCATTGTTGTGTCGTGAGTGTCATGTGTGTTATGATACTTTCAAAAAACTTATGGATGAAGTTTTTATAAAGCTTAATAAACAGAATATCTCTGTTTTAATATGTGGAGACATTAAAACAAATCTCTTTAAATATTCCTTCACTAATATCAAATTTAGATTATTGTTTAAATCATATAATCGTTTAAATTTATTTTTATACCTAATATCTTTACAAATGTTATCATCATCATCATTATTACAGCCCTTCACAAGTCCACTGCTGAACATAGGCTTCCCCCAAGTAATGCCACAAAGCACGGTCCTGAGCCACCTGCATCCATCGACTTCCTGCATATCTTACCAGGTCGTCACTCCATCTAGTGGGGGTCGCCCTACACTACGCCTACCGATACGAGGCTGCCACTCGAGAACCTTTCTTCCCCATCGGTTAACGGTTCTTCGAGCTATATGGCCGGCCCATTGCCACTTCAGCTTACTAATCCGTTGGGCTATGTCGGTCACTCTATTTTTACTGCGGATATCCTCATTTCTGAGTCTATCACGCAGAGAAACTTCAAGCATAGCCCTCTCCATAGCTCGCTGAGCGACCTAGAGCGTCCTCATACGGCCAGCAGTGAAGGACCACGTCTCAGATCCTTAAGTCATCACTGGAAACACGCACTGGTTTTACAATCTAGTTTTTAGAGATTGAGATATACCTGACGAGAAGATATGTCGTAATTTCCCGAACGCTGCCTAGCCGAGTTGAATCCGTCGATTGACCTCTCGGTCGAAGTTGGACTTACCTAGTCGGTTTATTTGTCCCAGGTAAACGTACTCGTCAACAACTTCGAGCATAGTGCTCCCAACAACTACCGGCATAGGTGTGACATAGACATTAAACATGATCTTTGTTTTGTCCATGTTCATCTTAAGACCTATCCGTTGAGAGGCACCATTTAGGTCATTGAGCATAATGCTAAGGTCCTCCAGCGATTCTGCCATAAGGACTATATCGTCGGCAAATCGAAGGTGAGTGATGTACTCGCCATTGATGTTAATACCGTATCCTTTCCAATCCAGTAGCTTGAAAACGTCTTCCAACGCAGCGGTGAAGAGTTTCGGGGATATAACGTCACCCTGTCTTACACCTCTCTGCAGTTGGATACGCCTCGAACTCTGGTTCTGTACTCGGAAAGCCATCGTAGCCCTACTGTACAAACACTTCAGCACTTCGATATACCGACAGTCAACTTGGCACCGCTGAAGGGACTGTAGCACCGCCCAAATTTTGACGGAATCAAAGGCTTTCTCATAGTCCACATACGCCAGGAAAAGTGGCAGATTGTACTCCTCGTTCTTCTGTACAATCTGCCGCAGGGTATGTATGTGGTCTATGGTACTGAAGCCTTTTCGGAAACCGGCTTGTACGGGAGGCTGGAAGTCGTCGAGTCTGCGTCGGGGAAGGACCACGTTCTCACAGAATACCAGCGTAAAATAGCAGCTTAATACTGCTGTGTTTCATATGGTGAGTGTAGAGATCTGGGGACCCCTTTTTACTGGGAACGAGGTATTCCATCTTAGTACTCAGGGGTGATAGCGCATCGGCGTTTTAATTCTTAATCGTGGATAAATGTAGATGTCTATGGGACACAACACCACCTTACCATCAGGTGTACTGTGTGCTCGTGTGTTACCCTTATTCTATAAAAAACGCGGTTGCTGATAATGAGGTCCTGGGTTCTAATACCGGGTTGTGTCAAAACCAGTTATTGGGTTTATCTGTCAAGAAATAATCTGTACCAGCTCGGAGTAAAGAATTTGGCGGTGTTTCACTCCTTCCTAGGCAGGGCTTGGTGAACAGGATTTTTTTAGCCTACGTTTGATCTTATCTAACAAAAGTTCACTATTTATAAGTAGATCTGTTTAAGAAGCTAAGAAGAACCTGGATATACCTATTTTTAATAATAGAAAGAAAGAAAGAAAGCAAGGTTTATTCTCCAAAATGACGCCATCACAGATAACATAAAAAAAAAACACATAATTTACAAATAATATTGGCTATACAATACAAATTACAATATACTACATATTACAAACTATACAATACCTATACTAGTATGTGTCAAGGCGTCATCTGGGAACAGGAGCACACTCAGCATAATGCCATGATTTTTTTTCCATGGCGCTGATTTTCAGTGTGTCCAACCAGTGACTTACCGAAATCAGTGCTATATGTATACTTATTTTATTATGCTTTAACAGAATTATGACTACGAACACTACAAAAGGGGAGATTATTAAAATACTATATAGGGCTATATACTACACTATGTAATTATTGAAGTATATAAAAGTATGTACATAAGAAGACAAAATGTACATAATAATACAGTTTTCACCGCAGTGATTTCGTTCAGCATTTATTATTATATTTTATCAAACAATAATTATTATCCAACGACACACTTGATGACAATTTTAGGGGAAAACTGACCTCATTTTCTTTATAATAGCTGCTTATTTTATTCAGAGAAATATTTTATAGTATCGAAACGACCAAGGAAAACTATAAAACCTAGCGTAAAGATTTATATTACACTTTATTTAAGCCCAAACCTACTTCAGTATTATTCTATGAATACCTTTATAACATTTTATGTGGTTGTGTTTTAGTACTGTTATGACACAATATAAGTATAAGTATATGTTATAAGTATATCTCTTTCT